TAATATTTGACCATGTGAACTTGACTAAAACGACATGTGAGTGAGTGAGTGAGTGAGTGAGTGAGAGGGAGGAAGCAAGCGAACAGGAAGATGGGTGTTTGGGTGAGTGAGTGATTTTAGACGAGTGATGAACGAATGAGTGAGAGAGTGAGAGAGGTTAGGGGAGTGATGGACAAGCGAGTGAGTGAACAAGTGAGATTACAGGATCTCAGTCAAATGATAGCTCAGGTATTTCTAAACATAGACACGATGACATCCACTCACTCATTGTGATGTGGCCTCGATGTCCGCAGTGTTCTTTGGTAACAAGAACTAAGTTCTGATTTGAGTGAGTTTAGTTTTACGCCGCTTTTAGCTATATTCCAGCAATATCACGGCGGGGAACACCAGAAATGGGCTTTACTCACTAAAACTATTAAGGGAATCGAACTCGGGTGTTTGACGTGACGAGCTAACGCACTAGCCACTAGACTACCCCACCGCCCCCAAGTTCCGATTTGAATGAGACTGGATCCGCATGTCTGGGATGGGATAAAGTCTCGCAAGTGTGCGCAAGAAACGTTGGCGTCTAAGACGACTCGGCCACGTTTCCTGGTCACACGATCATATTGATCTGTTACATGAGGATTATGATAACATTCACATGGATCATGAACCTAGCGTCAGCAGATCCTGGTTTCACCAAGGAACACAGCTCTTACACAGGCGAAAGAACCGTTTGGCATCTACTGTCCAATCGAACCTGTTAGGTGTTTTTCGTCAATGAGGACGAAACGTGAAAACTACGTGACATTAAATACACGACGTACAGCTGATATGTCGCTGCCTCTGCGGCGACGTGTTTGCTAAAGGGTAACATGTATATATAATAACAACTAGAGTAATTTTAACTGCTGTTTATTATTATGTCATCAGTAATACGCATACAAGATTTACGATGCTACTATTTTTCACAAAGGATGAATTTGTGTGTGTGATCGTAGAAATACGACCACATCCGTCTCAGAGTGTTGGTCCTGTAGGGCAGCTTTGTGCAAGGCTTCGTCCCGATGTTAAACTTCCAGTCCATGTCGTTGAAGCCGGGGACGTACCACCCAGACCATGCTCCATTGAACCACTGGATCTTGTATGCGATTACCCGACCTCCATTCTCGGCCAGCTGGTCAGCAAAGAGGTTGAGTCCGGCCGCCCAAACACAGTCACGAGTTGGCCTTCTTGTCACCTCCTTACATTTAGCCTGTAAATAAAAATGACAATAAATACAAGAGTCATCAGAAGATACAAATCTTTCCCCGATCGTAGGATATCCGCACTGCCATCCCTTGATCACCGTGCGGCCTCCGTCCGGTGCCTGTGAAATCGTATGGACATTATGCAAGCCTTCCCACCGCAGCCGCATATATGGGGTGAAGGGTTCTGGGAGACAACCTGATGGCCGAGCGGCAGCCTTGCGATGGACCAGTCATTTTTACCATGGGTATATACATTAGCAATCCAAAGCAGTTCTATCATGTGTCCCAGTTCATGAGAGAGATCCAAGACAACAACATGTACAAGGTAAACCGACTTCCGCTCTGCCTTCGCACGGACGTCGCACTGTCTCCCTGCAGTAGCTGTGAAGTCCGCACGGAAACTGCACGATTTCTGTGCAGCCTCCATGCAGGTTTGACTCGGCCTGTCCCCAAGGAAATCGCACGATGGTCGTAGACAATATGGACACAAAAGTCGTAGCCCGCAGTCACCCATGATGCGCAAACAATCGTACGGAAAATCGTAGACTACTTTATCGTACGGCGCCCGTGGCAAATGTGATCCAGGTCAAAACAAAACCCAAGTATCATCACATTTCTCCATATATCGGTAAGAAATATAACCTTTACACATCAAAATAAAAACAGTAATTTTACAGCCTCCATGTCCCCATGCCTCCAAGCCCCCAAGTCTCCAAACCTCCAAGCCACAAGTCTCCAAGCCTCTAAGTCCCCATGCCTCCAACCTTGCAAGTCTCCAAGCATCCAAGTACACATGCCTCCAAGTCTCCATGTCCCCATGGCTCCAAGCCTCCAAACCTCCATGTCCCCATGGCTCCACGCCTCCAAGCCTCCATGTCCCCATGCTTCGAAGCCTCCACGTTCGCATGCCTCTAAGCTTCTAAGCCTCCATGTCCCCATGCCTCCAAGCCTCCAAGTCCCAATGCCTCCATGCCTCCATGCCTCCAAGTCTTCATGCCTCCAATCGCTCACCTCCACTCAACTCAGCTTCATTGCACTATTCTCCGCTCACGTACACTCAACTTCAACTCAGGTCCAATACTCTATTCTCCGCTCACCTCCACTCAACAGAGTTCCAATGCACTAAACCCCGCTCAACTCCACCCAAGTCAGCTCCAATACACTATGCTCCGCTCACCCCACTCAACTCAATTCCAATGCGCTATACTCCGCTCACCTCCACTCAACTCAACTCCAATGAACCATACTCCGGACACCTCCATTCAACGGAACTCAAATGCACTATACTCCGCTCACCTCCACTCAACTGAATTGCACTGTACACCGCTCAGCTCCATTCAACTCACCTCGCCTCCAATGCACTATACTTCGCTCACCTCCACTCAACTCATCTGCAATGTACGATACTTCGATCACCTCCATTCAACTAAACGCACATGCACTATACACCGCTCATCTCCAGAGGTGTCCGGAGTATAGTGCATTGGAGTTGAGTTGAGTGAAGGAGAGCAGAGTTTTGTGGATTGGAGTTGAGTTTAGTGGAGGTGAGCGGAGTATATTGCATTGGAGCTGAGTTAAAGATGAATTGAATTGAGCGGAGTATAGTGCATTGCGGTGGAGTAGAGTGAAGGTGAGCGAAGTACAGTGCATCGGAGTTGAGTTGAGTGAAGGTGAGCGGAATGTAGTGCATTTCAGTTGAGTGGAGGTGAGCATTGTTTAGTTCATTGGAGCTGAGTTGAATGGAGGTGACCGAAGCATAGTGCATTGCGGTGCTTCATCAATAAACTCGCTATTGGAACTTTATCTACTTGTTTTGTGATCCTTCAGCATTCGCCAGTTTCGACATTCACTATCTGTTAGGTCCCTGTGATATATTTTCACTAAACCTCGTCTCCGAGCTCTGGTATTCATTTTGTCACATTTTGTGACTGGTGGCAGCATCCATAATATTTGTGTAGTTTGTCTACTAGTATCGACTAGTCCTTGGCCGTTCCGTTACAGTCCCATAGTGTCCTATGACCGGGGATAGTAATGTACGTAGCGCCGTGAGCAGGCAATGTGCCTGGATATTCATGAGCGCCATATAAGCGGACTGTTACTATTACTTTTACTATTCTTTTACTGATGTGTTGCCCTTTGGTGGTTCATACAATCACAACAATAGTTATTGGAGAACTGTGTGACAGTTAGATTGGTGACCATACTTTGGTAGACACATGCCATCGTGATCACTTGTTCAAAATCACTCTATGACACGTTTTAGTGTGTGATAGTGGCTGGTTGGTTTTACACTAACTTCTTTTGTGTCAAAATTCCAGCCTTGTTTACTTTTTCAATTTGCAAACCCAAATATAACAATGTCGATCTAATTCAAGGCATTAAACTGCAAATTCGCTAAATAAAACGTCCGTCTAATGCTCTAAATATATGTCCTGAATATATGTAAAGCCCATCTCTGTTGTTCCCCGCCGTGATAGTGCTGGAACATTACTAAAAGCGGCGTAAACTTAACCTCACTCACTCACTAATTGAATGTCAGTGTTAGCCGGGTATAGGTGTCGGGGGATACAACATTGGAACCCTGTCACAGAAGACCTGCACTGATGGCAGTTCGAGAGGTTAGACACAGGTGTTCCCTGTTTTACGAAATATATGCCCGATTGACAAAAAAGTTCTATCTTCTTCGCTTAATAAACATCAGCTTACCTGGGTGTTGATGTCGTAAACGACAAGATCGGACGCGCCGACCAAAGACGTTACAGTCAGCGCAATCAGAAGCAACGGCAGCATCATGGACATCATGATGATATGAACTACGCCGACGAAGGCGCCTCATTTATTGTTGCAACTATGCACAATAAAAACTAAATAAATAAAAAACAGAAATTATAAAACAAATCCAAATGCAATAAAGCCCAGTGAGCTCAATTCGATTATTGGGTAGCTGTCTAAGTCGTTATCGAACGTAGTGATGTATAATATAAAAATAATATTTCGGGATTATTTAGCAGTTTTGTGCCGACTTGTTAATTAAACTCATGATTTATGACTGTCACACCTGTCCAGATGATTGAATGCACGTTGCAGGTTTCAGATTGATTTTTGCAAATTGCATGTCTCCAGCTCTAAACAGTTAATTTTCGTATATGTTAATATTTCGTTGTTTTCTACCGAAACTAAAATTGTCATTCAATGCACTCAATACCGGGGAGGCATGGAGGTTTGGAGGCATGGGGACTTTGAGCCATGGGGACTTGGAGGCTGAGGCATGGAACATGGACACTTGGAGGTTTGGAAGATTGGAGACGAGGCATGGGGACTTGGAGGCTTGGAGACTTTGAGGCCTGTGGATATGGAGGCGTGGAGGCTTGGGGGCATGGGGACTTGGAGGCATGGGGACTTGGAGGCTTGGAGGCATGGGTATTTGGAGGCATGGGTGCTTGGAGGCATGGGGACATGGAGGCATGGGGACTGGAGGCTTGGAGGTTTGGGGGGCACGGGGACATGGGGATATGGAGGTATGTAGACATGGGGACTTGGAGGTTTGGAGGCATGAGGACATGGAGGCTTGGAGACTGCCAGGCTTCCAGACATGGAGGCTTGGAGGCATGGATACTTGGAGGCTAGGAGGCATCGGGACATGGAGTGTTGAAGACTTGGAGGCTTGGAGACTTGGAGACTTGGAGGCGTGGAGGCGTGGAGGCGTGGAGGCGTGGAGGCTTGGAAACTTGGTTGCTTGGATGCTTAGAGGCTTGAAAGCATGGAGACTTAGAGGCATGGGGACATGGAGACTTGGAGGCATGTTGATATGGAGGCGTGGAAGCTTGGGGGCATGGGGACTTGAAGGCATGGGGATTTGAAGGCTTGGAGGCATGGAGACTTGGAGGCATGGGGATTTGGAGGCTTGGAGGCTTGGAGGAATAGGGACTTGGGGGCTTGGAGGCATGGGGACGTGGAGGATTGGGGACATGGAGGTTTGGAGGCATCGGGACAAGGCTTGGAGCCATGGGGACTTGGATGCTTGGAGGCATGGGTATTTTGAGGCATGGGTGCTTGGAGGCATGGGGACATGGAGGCATGGGGACTGGAGGTTTGGGGGCGTGGGGACATGGGGATATGGAGGTATGTAGACATGGGGACATGGAGGCTAGGAGGCATGCGGACATCGAGGCTTGGAGGCATGGGGACATGGGGACATGGAGGCTTGGACGCTTGGAGGCTTGTATTCGTGCTGACATGGAGGCTTAGAGGCTTGCAGGCATGGGGGCATCGGGATTTGGAGGCATGGAGAATTAGCGGCATGGACTTGGAGGCTTGGAGGTTTGGAAGCATGCAAACATGGAGGCTTGAAGGAATGGGGACATTGAGGCTTGGAGGTATGGGGACATGGAGGCTCTGAGGCTTGGAGGCATGGGGACATTGAGACTTTGAGGCTTGGACTCGTGGGGACATGGAGGCTTGGAGGCTTGGAGCCATGGGGACTTCGAAGCTTGGAGGCATGGGGAATTGAAGGCATGGGGACTGGAGGCTTGGAGGCTTGGAGGCTTGGAGGCTTGGAGGCTTGGGGGCATGGGGCCATGGAGGAATGGAGAAATGGGGCCATGGAGGAATGGAGACATAGGGACTTGGAGCTTTGGAGACATGATGACATGGAAGCTTGGAGACTTGGAGGATTGGAAACTTGGTTGCTTGGAGGCTTGGAGGCTTGAAGGCATGGAGACGTGGAGGCATGGGGTCATGGAGGCTTGAAGGCAAGGGGACTTGGAGGCTTGTAGACTTGGATGCATTGGGACTTGGATGCTTGGAGGCATAGGGACATGGAAGCTTGGAGGCTTGGAGCAATGCGAACATGGAGGCTAGGAGGCATGGGGACATTGAGGCTTTGAGGCCACGGAGGCTTGGAGGCTTGGAAACTCGGTTGCTTGGAGGCTTGGAGGCTTGAAGGCATGGAGCCTTGGAGGCATGGAGACATGGGGGCATGAGATCTTGGAGGCTTAGAAGCTTAGAGGCATAGGGACATGGAGTCTTGGAGGCTTGGAGCCATGGTGACTTGGAGGCTTGGAGACATAGTGGCTTGGACGTTTGGAGGCATGGAGACATGGGGACATTGAGGCTTAGAGGCTTGGAGGCATCGGGACATGGAGGCTTCGAGACTTGGAGGCTTGGAGACTTGGAGACTTGGAGGCGTGGAGGCGTGGAGGCTTGGAAACTTGGTTGCTTGGATGCTTAGAGGCTTGAAAGCATGGAGACTTAGAGGCATGGGGACATGGAGACTTGGAGGCATGTTGATATGGAGGCGTGGAAGCTTGGGGGCATGGGGACTTGAAGGCATGGGGATTTGAAGGCTTGGAGGCATGGAGACTTGGAGGCATGGGGATTTGGAGGCTTGGAGGCTTGGAGGAATAGGGACTTGGGGGCTTGGAGGCATGGGGACGTGGAGGATTGGGGACATGGAGGTTTGGAGAGCATCAGGACAAGGCTTGGAGCCATGGGGACTTGGATGCTTGGAGGCATGGGTATTTTGAGGCATGGGTGCTTGGAGGCATGGGGACATGGAGGCATGGGGACTGGAGGTTTGGGGGCGTGGGGACATGGGGATATGGAGGTATGTAGACATGGGGACATGGAGGCTAGGAGGCATGCGGACATCGAGGCTTGGAGGCATGGGGACATGGGGACATGGAGGCTTGGACGCTTGGAGGCTTGTATTCGTGCTGACATGGAGGCTTAGAGGCTTGCAGGCATGGGGGCATCGGGATTTGGAGGCATGGAGAATTAGCGGCATGGACTTGGAGGCTTGGAGGTTTGGAAGCATGCAAACATGGAGGCTTGAAGGAATGGGGACATTGAGGCTTGGAGGTATGGGGACATGGAGGCTCTGAGGCTTGGAGGCATGGGGACATTGAGACTTTGAGGCTTGGACTCGTGGGGACATGGAGGCTTGGAGGCTTGGAGCCATGGGGACTTCGAAGCTTGGAGGCATGGGGAATTGAAGGCATGGGGACTGGAGGCTTGGAGGCTTGGAGGCTTGGAGGCTTGGAGGCTTGGGGGGCATGGGGCCATGGAGGAATGGAGAAATGGGGCCATGGAGGAATGGAGACATAGGGACTTGGAGCTTTGGAGACATGATGACATGGAAGCTTGGAGACTTGGAGGATTGGAAACTTGGTTGCTTGGAGGCTTGGAGGCTTGAAGGCATGGAGACGTGGAGGCATGGGGTCATGGAGGCTTGAAAGCAAGGGGACTTGGAGGCTTGTAGACTTGGATGCATTGGGACTTGGATGCTTGGAGGCATAGGGACATGGAAGCTTGGAGGCTTGGAGCAATGCGAACATGGAGGCTAGGAGGCATGGGGACATTGAGGCTTTGAGGCCACGGAGGCTTGGAGGCTTGGAAACTCGGTTGCTTGGAGGCTTGGAGGCTTGAAGGCATGGAGCCTTGGAGGCATGGAGACATGGGGGGCATGAGATCTTGGAGGCTTAGAAGCTTAGAGGCATAGGGACATGGAGTCTTGGAGGCTTGGAGCCATGGTGACTTGGAGGCTTGGAGACATAGTGGCTTGGACGTTTGGAGGCATGGAGACATGGGGACATTGAGGCTTAGAGGCTTGGAGGCATCGGGACATGGAGGCTTCGAGACTTGGAGGCTTGGAGACTTGGAGACTTGGAGGCGTGGAGGCGTGGAGGCGTGGAGGCTTGGAAACTTGGTTGCTTGGATGCTTAGAGGCTTGAAAGCATGGAGACTTGGAGGCATGGGGACATGGAGACTTGGAGGCATGTGGATATGGAGGCGTGGAGGCTTGGGGGCATGGGGACTTGGAGGCATGGGGATTTGAAGGCTTGGAGGCATGGGGACGTGGATGCTTGGGGACATGGAGGCTTGGAGGCTTGGAGGCATCGGGACGAGGCTTGGAGGTTTGGAGCCATGGGGATTTGGAGCAATTGCGACTTGGAGACTTGGAGGCATGGGGACTTGGAGGCTTGGAGGCATGGGTATTTTGAGGCATGGGTGCTTGGAGGCATGGGGACATGGAGGCATGGGGACTGGAGGCTTGGAGGTTTGGGGGCACGGGGACATGGGGATATGGAGGTATGTAGTCATGGGGACTTGGAGATTTGGAGGCATGAGGACATGGAGGCTTGGAGGTTTGGGGACATGGAGGCTTGGAGACTGCCAGGCTTCCAGACATGGAGGCTGGGAGGCATGGATACTTGGAGGCTAGGAGGCATCGGGACATGGAGGCTTGGAGACTTGGAGGCTTGGAGACTTGGAGACTTGGAGGCGTGGAGGCGTGGAGGCGTGGAGGCGTGGAGGCTTGGAGGCTTGGAGGCTTGGAGGCTTGGAAACTTGGTTGCTTGGATGCTTAGAGGCTTGAAAGCATGGAGACTTAGAGGCTTGGGGACATGGAGACTTGGAGGCATGTGGATATGGAGGCGTGGAGGCTTGGGGGCATGGGGACTTGGAGGCATGGGGATTTGAAGGCTTGGAGGCATGGAGACTTGGAGGCATGGGGATTTGGGGGCTTGGAGGCTTGGAGGAATAGGGACTTGGGGGCTTGGAGGCATGGGGACGTGGAGGCTTGGGGACATGGAGGTTTGGAGGCATCGGGACAAGGCTTGGAGCCATGGGGACTTGGATGCTTGGAGGCATGGGTATTTTGAGGCATGGGTGCTTGGAGGCATGGGGACTTGGAGGCTTGCAGACTGCCAGGCTTGCAGACATGGAGGCTTGGAGGCATTGGGACATGGAGGCTTGGAGACTTGGAGACTTGGAGGCAAGGGGACATGGAGGCTTGGAGGCATGGGGACTTGGAGGCTTGGAGATTTGGAGGCATGTATACATGGGGACATGGAAGCTTGGAGGCTTGGAGGCTTGGAGGCTTGGGGGCTTGGGGGCATGGGGACATGGAGAAATGGAGAAATGGGGCCATGGAGGAATGGAGACATGGGGACTTGGAGCTTTGGAGGCATGAGGACATGGAAGCTTGGAGACTTGGAGGCTTGGAAACTTGGTTGCTTGGAGGCTTGGAGGCTTGAAGGCATGGAGACGTGGAGGCATGGGGTCATGGAGGCTTGAAGGCAAGGGGACTTGGAGGCTTGGAGACTTGGAGGCTTGGAGACGTGGAGGCATGGGGACATGGAGGCTTCGAAGCATGGGGACATGGAGGCTTGGAGGCTTGGAGCCATGGAGGCTTTGAGGTTTGGAGGCATGCGAACATGGAGGCTTGGAAGCATGGGGACATTGAGGCTTGGAGGTATGGAGACATGGAGGCTCTGAGGCTTGGAGGCATGGGGACTTGGAGGCTTCGAAATTTGGAGGCAAGGAGACTTGGAAGCTTGGAGACTTGCAAGGTTGGAGGCTTGGAGACTTGGAGACTTGGAGGCATGGGAATTTGGAGGCTTCGAAGTTTGCAGGCATGGGGACTTGGAGGCCTGGAGACTTGTGGCTTGGAGGTTTGGAGGCATGGGGACTTGGAGGCTTACAGACTGCCAGGCTTGCAGACATGGAGTCTTGGAGGCATGGAGACTTGGAGGCTAGGAGGCATTAGGACATGGAGGCTTGGAGACTTGTGGGCTTGAAGGCTTGGATGCATGTAGACTTGGAGGCGTGGAGGCTTGGAAACTTGGTTGCTTTGAGGCTTGGAAGCTTGAAGGCATGGAGACTTGGAGGCATGGGGACATGGAGGCTTGGAAGCATGGAGACATGGAGGCTTGGAGGTATGGAGACATGGAGGCTCTGAGGCTTGGAGGCATGGGGACTTGGAGGCTTCGAGATTTGGAGGCAAGGAGACTTGGAAGCTTGGAGACTTGCAAGGTTGGAGGCTTGGAGACTTGGAGACTTGGAGGCATGGGAATTTGGAGGCTTCGAAGTTTGCAGGCATGGGGACTTGGAGGCCTGGAGACTTGTGGCTTGGAGGTTTGGAGGCATGGGGATTTGGAGGCTTACAGACTGACAGGCTTGCAGACATGGAGTCTTGGAGGCATGGAGACTTGGAGGCTAGGAGGCATTAGGACATGGAGGCTTGGAGACTTGTGGGCTTGAAGGCTTGGATGCATGTAGACTTGGAGGCGTGGAGGCTTGGAAACTTGGTTGCTTTGAGGCTTGGAAGCTTGAAGGCATGGAGACTTGGAGGCATGGGGACATGGAGGCTTGGAAGCATGGGGACTTGGAGGCTTGGAGGCATGGAGACATGGAGGCTTGGAGACATGGAGGCATTGAGGCATTGGGACATTGAAGCTTTGAGGCCATGGAGGCTTGGAGGCTTGGAGCCATGGGGACTTCGAGGCTTGGGGGCATGGAGGCATGGGGACTTGGAGGCTTGGAGACTTAGGGGCTTGGAGGTTTGGAGGCATGGAGGCAAGGAGGCATAGAGGCTTGGATACTTGGAGGCTTGGAGGCATGGAGACATGGAGGCTTGGAGACATGGGGACATGGAAGATTGGAGGCTTGGAGCCATTGGGACTTGGAGGCTAGGAGGCTTCGAAGCATGGGTACATGGAGGCTTGGAGGCATGGGGACATGGATGTTTGGAGGCATGGGGACTTGGAGGCTTGGAGACTTGGAGACTTGGAAACTTGGAAGCATGGGAGTAGTATATACACTGGGGGTACGAGATAAAGTTCAGCAAAAGCCTCTGTAAAGCTTCATTCACTAAATACAGCTTTTGTCAGGCCCTTATCTCTCTCCGCTATTTTATATACCAGGTTTGAACCCCCTGTTAACTTCCTGGTCACTATGACCGCGAACCAAAACTTTCCTGATCACGTGACACTATGTCGTGTTGACCTCGAGGAAACAGTTGGTTACAGGATACTATTGGGATTACTCGACAAGGTAAGTGTTAAATATTTTGCTTGGGGGGTAACATTGTGCTGTGATTCCTCTCTGGCGGCGGCTCGTGGCTGCCCTACATGATGTTGATCTCAGCAAAACAGTTTAACGTGAATCTCCTATGATTTCTTTGGTTTTCATAATTGAGGCTTGCTGGGCTTGTTGTATCCCCTGTTCTATGTACTTTTTTGGCTCGTCTTCGCTGACGGCAGTTTTACGAGACTTGTTTCGAATCTCTCGTTTCATTTCATGATATTTTGTGAGTTGGGAGAGGACCAAACGAAACTCTTCCTCTGAGATTTTATTGTCAGTGAGTGCGGTGGAAATATGGTCGTCTATGGTGTTTAACTTCGCATCGGCTAGGATCCTGATCTCGTCGTGTTTCAATGCCTTACGATGCAGTCTGCGTGACACAAACTTAAACACCAATCCAGCCAACCCTGACACCCCAGCTGTTATTTCGATGCCTAGCACTACGGGTGCGGCTACGATGGTGGTCAACAACCCCACACCTACTGCCCTTAACCCCATACTGGTAGCCATAAGGGTGGTATCAACCCCATCCACGACATTGAAAGCTCTATGGTACTTCTTGTACAATGCTGCCCGTGTGTCGCGGTCTTGTTCTAGTTGGCATTTTACGTCCACATAACTGTTTCAATCGAAACCCGTCCTCACGGTTTCCAGTGTCTTAGCTACTACCTCTACGACTGGGTACAGCCCCATCCTGTGCGTATAATATATACTACAAGATATTTTTTAATTGGGCTTCATATAATAGTCGATCAATGTACTTGAGGCTTATAAGGCCTACGTGCCCATGTAGGTGAATAGTGGAACGGTCAATAGGTCACTCTTGTTCTATACTAACTATATGGTTGCTTATTAAGGGGGGCAGCAACCCCGGTGAGGGTTCCGAGCTCCGTCATATGACGATACGACAATGGCGGTCTGTAAATGGATATGAATGTGGCAATCTTATTTCCACCCCAGGTAAAAGGTGCCAGGGGGGAACCACCCCCTCATCAATATCGTCTCTGAAAAAGAATTCTATGATGAATGTGGAGCCTGGGGGCATAACCATAGAATATAATAGGCCAGCATATAATCGAAATGATAAACGTGTATAACTGGATGCATTTAACATGTAGCCCGGGCGATTTGGTGTTTGGGGAAACTCTTATACTCTGAAAGTTTGGGGGTGAAACGCCGAGCAAGATACCGTTGTTCTTAATTTCGGTGATATAACTAGTGATAGGACCATCCACCCTTGGGAAAGAAACGTAAGGTGTGGTGAGGGTCATGTTGATCAACCATTTGGGCTCTCTAAAGTCCCGAGTGTGATGTTGGGCCAATGATCGGGCATTGCGCCCGTCTATACGTTGTCTTTCAAGTGTAGGACGTTACAAAGTCTTCCTGCGCCGGGCAGATCGAACCCTTCCGTGTTTCCTAGGTGCGTTAAAGCGTGGCGTTGGGCCGATGATGATTGGACATTGCTATAATACTATTACAAGATAGTTTCCAATTGTTTTCTGATAACCTCTCAAGGGTGCACTTCAACACCATGAGGTGTATGTTGTCGGTAGGAAGATCTTGGTGAGGGATATCGTGTCTTCCACGGTCATGGTGACCCCTTGCAGACTGGTGTGGGAGTCGACACCCACCCGCTGCGTAAACAGTGTAAGCGTGATACTGGTGCTGTTTCACCCACGGTTTGATTCCCTTCACGACTTCGACTTAGTCCTGCGATGGCAAGCGTGGAATTTGCTGGTAGACCTTCCAGGATTTTGACCACACCGGCGAATTCAGACACCAACTGCAATGTCACGGCTTGCACTCCGGTTTACTTTCGATAGCATGTGGGCCGCCATACTTGAGAGTGGGCTGATGATTATGCTCGTCTCCAGCGACCGGGATGTAAGCCACGAGCATGGTTCCGTTGTTCACGACTTTGTTTAGGTAGTTGTCTTTGTTCTCGTGAACACGTATGGGGAGCCGAGACTAATGTTGAGAAACCAATCCACTCGAGAGGGTAACAACACCCACTTGTCATAGTCGGTGAAGACGAGCGTATACTGCTTGTTTCGAGCAACGGTCGTGCTCTCAACATCTTCTAGGTCGAACAGTTTGCCTTCAAACGATGGGTATACCGCCCATCTATCATCACCGATGCGGACTAGGTCGAACTGAGTGTTGAGGGCCGCTCCTGAGGTATCTACTATCTCACCTAGGGTTCTACCGATGGAGGAGACTTCAACGCGTTTGTAAATACTGTTTTTAAGCTGCAAGGCGTAAAGTTTACCATCTACTCCGGGGTCGTCGAACCCGCGTGTGTCCCCAAGGTCGGAGATCCCCACATTGATGCATTTTTTCAACCTCATTCCAGGACCTTGTGCGCTAGTCATTTTATGTGCAGCGTTATGCTGAGGTATCCTATATTCACAGGATTCACCGCTCATTATTCCTGGAAGTGTTACGTACATGTTAGAGCATATATACCCATTATATAATACTTTAAAATGTACAAACCGGGAGTGTTTTTACCCTAAAATGGACATAGATTTCCCTTTATGAAGATCATGGTCGTTGGCCGGCTGGGTTATATATCGGAGCCCAGTTCATAGATGTGTTCGACCGGTATAAGCTTTTTGTGACTAACGTCAAGGCAGTCCACGCCTGGTTCAACACCCTATGCTGTTCTGGCAGAATCAACTTAACTTAGCCGTCTGGTGTCGCGACGACTGGGTGTGGCTTGACATTGACCGACACTCGTCGGGGACCGCTGAGTCAGTCTGTGTTCACGTTTCACGTGTACTACCAGGTCAGGCGTATCCTCAAAGAGATCAGCGCTCCGCTCCCACAGGACAAAGCATGGGGCGCAGTAAACAACCCGTGCGATAGAAGCGGGCCCTCGACTGACGCAGCGTTTGCAATGAATTCGAACTAGACCCGAAGACGGATTGGCCTTTGTCGGGCCCGAACCACGGGTTGGGTATCCCCATCGTTCACAACATGCCCCTCGTGGAAGCCAGCGAAAAGATGAAAGAATGGGGGTACAAGTCGTATCATCACATCACAACAAACGAGTGGGATGACCGTTACATGGCTTTCAACAACAGCAAGGATTACTGAGTCTGGAGGTTCGAGCAGGGGCCCGCGGATGACTGGAAAAAGTTCATGCTGGACACGTAGAGAGGGTTCACTCGTGCCGGCACCGAACGCTTGAACGACTCGATTCGAACGTACGTGTGGGCGCTGTTGGGTGGGCAGACACAAACGCGTTCCAACATCCTCGGTTAGGGGACTGCTTACGACACTCAGAAACTGTTCGTTGCTAATGTCGAGGATGCCATCGCCACCCCGGTCGACCTGCCGAGTGCCATCAAACACTACCAAAACGTATTGACCGCCTCCGTGGTGTAGTGGTTAGAGCGTCCGCCCGGAGAGCGGAAGGTCACGGGTTCGATCCCCGACCGCGTCATACCAAAAGACGTTAAAATATGGTACTTGTTGGTTCCTGCCTGGCGCTCGGCATTAATGGGTACAACAAGGACTGGTCGGCTCGGAGTCAGTATAATGTGTCTGAGGGGGGTATTCATGCTTCACTGCGGCATCGTATCTCAGTGGGCTAGCACTATAAAACCAGCTTAAGTCTGGGCTAGTACAAGCAGCCGCACACACACATACACACGCATGCCCGTCGTCATATGAGCGAAATATTCTCAAGCACGACGTTAAACCCAATTTCACCTCACCTCACCTCACCTCACCTCACCAAAACGTATTGGAATACGCCCAAAGTCTAAAAATCGACTCGTCTTCGACATGGGACTGTATACATGTCCCGACGATCACAACTGAGGAAGCAAAAGCAGGTGGGCTACAACAACGAAATAGTTATAGCCCGCGGCCGACCAAGTTGAATTGTCAATGCAGGCATCAACGTGGTCACGTCCCACCTCCCAGGGTGAAACGGTTATAGTCGTACCACCCCCGAAGCTCAGGAGTTCAACCCACACCAACACAGCCCCTGCCACAACACCGGGTGGCTGAAAATAACGAACACATCGATCGTAAAACAGCGCTGGTGGTTGGCGGGATCGCTCGGTTTGGGTCTCATTGGTTAAAAATTCCTTAGTTGCCACTTACACCAGCCGACCCACGGCGGCTGATGGCTTCGACTGACGTTCAACCTCACGTTGACCTCCGCCAATCGACAAACGCGAGCTCGTGCGGAACGTAGGTTGAGCCATCATCAAGAAAAACCACCATCAATATCAGCGACAGCGCAGGTGTTGAGCATCAACGACAGCGACATATTTTACTGCTTTCACGGGGACCTCTGGAAAGTGAGGGAGAATGCGTCAATGGCGTGTACCACGGTATCAGCAAATCGACTTCGGTTGCGCTGTTCTGCGTGCGCGCTCGACTTCAAAGCTGCTCACAGGGCGTGTGCGTTTTAACTGGCCGCGCTGGGTGATGAAGCGAATACGGAGCTCACGTATAACGACTACAGCAAAGTCGATAAATGCGCCAAATGGTGATGAAGCCAGTTATGCCATGCGACAACAACTCTCTGGGGTTTGACATTGTCACTAGCCCGCGGCTGGCAAAGGCAGGTTCGAAACCAGTACTCGGGGAAGGTGGCCATCCTGTATGACCGCATACAGCGATCATACAGGATAAGAGAGACATGCTGTGGAACATCAACCCTAAACATGCGGCCCGATCAATGAAAGGTATCCTGATTGTCCCTCTTGGAGGATTAACGAGCCCTTCGAAGGGACAGCGAGAAGTTTTCAACCCGAGATTGAAAAGGTGGAAGTGTGACCATCGAGGGGCGTGCCCAACCAACTGTTCAGCGCCGGTATGAGGGCAACACCAGCAGTGGGATGAGATAACGAAGCTACCAACCCGACACCAACTTACGTGGTCAAGGACCTGGACCTAAGCTCCGTGCAGATCGGTGAATACCTGACCACCAGAAATGCAGCTATGGTTGGACATGCGATCCACGGACGATGATCAATTACATGGCAGCGGTCGCGCGCATCGACAACGGCAGCAGGGGATAACCATCCAGATTGCCAAGAGAGGCTCAACCGGGCAAGTTGAAATTATATCTATGCGTGATTATGGACGCAACCTAATATAGAGAATGGAAATTTGTGCAAAGCCATCTATTGATCTACCCTTTACACCGCGACTCCGCACTGCACGATTTCTGTGCAGCCTCCATCACAGGTTTGACTCTGGCCTGTCCCCAAGCGAAATCGCACGATGGTCGTAGACAATATGGACACAAAGTCGTAGCCTCGCAGTCACCCATATGATGCGCAAACAATCGTTACGGAAAATCGTGTAGACTACTTTATCGTACGGCGCCTGTGGCAAATGTGATCCAGGTCAAAACAAAACCCAAGTATCATCATATTTTTCTATATATCGGTAAGAAATATAACCTTACTACATCGGCAAAATAAAATAGTAATTTTACAGCCTTTCATGTCCTCATGCCTCCAAGCCCCCCTGTCTCCAAACCTCCAAGCCATTAAAAGTCTCCAAAGCCTCTAAGTCCCCATGCCTCCAACCTTGCAAGTCTCCAAGCATCCAAGTACACATGCCTCCAAGTCTCCATGTCCCATGGCTCCAAGTTTCCAAACCTACATGTCCCCATGGCTCCTACGCCTCCAAGTTTCCATGTCCCTGAGATGCTGAAGCCTCCACGTTCGCATGCCTCTGGCTTCTTGCCTCCATGTCCCCATGCCTCCAAGCTTCCAAGTCCCAAATGCCTCCATGCCTCCATGCCTCCAAGTCTTCATGCCTCCAATCGCTCACCTCCACCTCAACTCAGCTTCATTGCACTATTCTCCGCTCACGTACACTCAACTTCAACTCAGGGTCCACATACTCTATTCTCCGCTCACCTCCACTCAACAGAGTTCCAATGCACTAAACCCCGCTCAACTCCACCTTAAGTCAGTTTCCAATACATTATGCCCGCTCATTCTATCAATTCTCAACTCCAATGTGCTGCTACTCCGCTCACCTCCACTCAACTCAACTCAATGAACCATATCTCTGGACACCTCCATTCAACGGAACTCAATGCACTATATACTCCGCTCACTTCAACTCAACTGAATTGCATTGTACACTGCTCAGCTCCATTCAATTCACCACTACTCTAATGCACTATATTGTTTCACTTCCACCTCGGGACTCAACTCATCTGCAATGTACGATACTTCGATCACCTCCATTCAACTAAACCTCCACATGCACTATACACCGCTCATTCCAGAGGTGTCCGGAGTATAGTGCATTGGAGTTGAGTTGAGTGAAGGAGAGCAGATTTTTGTGGATTGGAGTGGAGTTGAGTGGAGTATTGCATTGGAGCTGAGTTAAAGATGAATTGAATTGAGCGGAGTATAGTGCATTGCGGTGGAGCAGAGTGAAGGTGAGCGAAGTACAGCGCAATGGAGTTGAGTTGAGGAAGGTGAGCGGAATGTAGTGCATTTCAGTTGAGTGGAGGAGAGCATTGTTTAGTTCATTGGAGTTGAGATTGAATGGAGGTGACCGAAGCATAGTGCATTGCGGTGCTTCATCAATAAACTCGCTATTGGAACTTTTATCTACTTGTTTTGTGATCCTCAGCATTCGCCAGTTTCGACATTCACTATCTGTTAGGTCCCTGTGATATATTTTCACTCAAACCTCGTCTCCGAGCTCTGGTATTCATTTTGTCACATTTTGTGACTGGTGGCAGCATCCATAATATTTGTGTAGTTTGTCTACTAGTATCGACTAGTCCTTGGCCGTTCCGTTACAGTCCCATAGTGTCCTATGACCGGGGATAGTAATGTACGTAGCGCCGTGAGCAGGCAATGTGCCTGGATATTCATGAGCGCCATATAAGCGGACTGTTACTATTACTTTTACTATTCTTTTACTGATGTGTTGCCCTTGGTGGTTCATACAATCACAACAATAGTTATTGGAGAACTGTGTGACAGTTAGATTGGTGACCATATTTTTGTAGACATATCATGCCATCGTGATCACTTGTTCAAAATCACTCTATGACACGTTTTAGTGTGTGATAGTGGCTGGTTGGTTTTACACTAACTTCTTTGTGTCAAAATTCCAGCCTTGTTTACTTTTTCAATTTGCAAACCCAAATATAACAATGTCGATCTAATTCAAGGCATTAAACTGCAAATTCAAGCAAATAAAACGTCCGTCTAATGCTCTAAATATATGTCCTGAATATATGTAAAGCCCATCTCTGTTGTTCCCCGCCGTGATAGTGCTGGAACATTACTAAAAGCGGCGTAAACTTAACCTCACTCACTCACTAATTGAATGTCAGTGTTAGCCGGGTATAGGTGTCGGGGGATACAACATTGGAACCCTGTCACAGAAGACCTGCACTGATGGCAGTTCGAGAGGTTAGACACAGGTGTTCCCTGTTTTACGAAATATATGCCCGATTGACAAAAAGTTCTATCTTCTTCGCTTAATAAACATCAGCTTACTCTGGTGTTGATGTCGTAAACGACAAGATCGGACGCGCCGACCAAAGACGTTACAGTCAGCGCAATCAGCTGAAACGGCAGCATCATGGACATCATGATGATATGAACTACGCCGACGAAGGCGCCTCATTTATTGTTGCAACTATGCACAATAAAAACCAAATAAATAAAACAGAAATTATAAACAAATCTAAATGCAATAAAGCCCAGTGAGCAAATTCGATTATTGGGTAGCTGTCTAAGTCGTTATCGAACGTAGTGATGTATAATATAAAAATAATATTTCGATTATTTAGCAAAGTTTGTGCCGACTTGTTAATTAAACTCATGATTTATGACCGTCACACCTGTCCAGATGATTGAATGCACGTTGCAGGTTTCAGATTGATTTTTGCAAATTGCATGTCTCCAGCTCTAAACAGTTAATTTTCGTATATGTTAATATTTCGTTGTTTTCACCGAACTAAAATTGTCATTCAATGCAACCCAATACCGGGGAGCATGGAGGTTTGGAGGCATGGGGACTTTGACCATGGGGACTTTGGAGGCTGAGGCACGGAAACATGGACACCTGGAGGTTTGGAAGATTGGAGACGAGGCATGGGGACTTGGAGGCTTGGAGATCCCTTGAGGCCTGTGGACATGGAGGCGTGGAGGCTTGGGGCATGGGGACCTGGAGGCATGGGGACCCTGGAGGCCTGGAGGCACGGGTATTTGGAGCGCATGGGCGCTTGGAGGCATGGGGACATGGAGGCATGGGGACTGGAGGCCTGGAGGTTTGGGGGGCACGGGGACATGGGGACATGGAGGCATGTAGACACGGGGACCCTGGAGGTTTGGAGGCACGAGGACATGGAGGCTTGGAGACTGCCAGGCTCCAGACATGGAGGCCTGGAGGCATGGGATACCCCTGGAGGCTAGGAGGCATCGGGACATGGAGCATGAAGACACCCGGGAGGCAGGAGACGGAGACTTGGAGGCATGGAGGCGTGGAGGCGTGGAGGCGTGGAGGCTTGGAACCTTGTTTAGCTTGGATGCTTAGGGAGGCTTGAGCATGGAGACTTAGAGGCATGGGGACATGGGGACTTGGAGGCATGCTGATATGGAGGTGCGGAAGGGGGGGCATGGGGACCTTGAAGGCATGGGGATTTGAAGGCATGGAGGCATGGAGACCTGGAGGCATGGGGTTTGGAGGCTTGGAGGCTTGGAGGAACAGGACCAGGGGCCTTGGAGGCATGGGGACGTGGAGGATTGGGGACATGGAGGTTTGGAGGCATCGGGACAAGGCTTGGAGCCATGGGGACCGGATGCTTTGGAGGCATGGGGTATTTTGAGGCATGGGTGCTTGGAGGCATGGGGACATGGAGGCATGGGGACCGGAGGTTTGGGGGGCGTGGGGACATGGGGATGGAGGTATGTAGACATGGGGACATGGAGGCTAGGAGGCATGCTGGACATCGAGGCTTGGAGGCATGGGGACATGGGACATGGAGGCTTGGACCTTGGAAAACTGTATCTGATGCTGACATGGAGGCTTAGGAGGCTTGCAGGCATGTGGGCATCAGGATTTGGAGGCATGGGAGGAGTAGGCATGGACGGAGGCTTGGAGGTTTGGAAGCATGCAAACATGGAGGCTTGAAGGAATGGGGACATTGAGGCTTGGAGGCATGGGGACATGGAGGCCCCTGGAGGCCTGGAGGCATGGGGACAATGAGACTTTGAGGCTTTGGACCGTGGGGACATGGAGGCTTGGAGGCTTGGAGCCATGGGGACCCCGGAAGCCTGGGAGGCATGGGAACTGGAAGGCACGGGGACCGGAGGCTTGGAGGCTTGGAGGCTTGGAGGCCTTGGAGGCTTGGGGCATGCTGGGCCATGGAGGAATGGAGAAAATGGGGCCATGGAGGAACGGGAACATAGGCACTTGAGCTTTGGAGACATGATGACATGGAAGCTTGGAGACTTGGAGGATTGGAAACTTGGTTGCTTGGAGGCTTGGAGGCTTGAAGGCATGGAGACGTGGGAGGCATGGGGTCATGGAGGCTTGAAGGCAAAGGGACTGGGAGGCTTGTAGACTTGGATGCATTGGGACTTGGGATGCTTGGAGGCATAGGGACATGGAAGCTTGGAGGCTTGGAGCAATGCGAACATGGAGGCCAGGAGGCATGGGGACATTGAGGCTTTGAGGCCACGGAGGCTTGGAGTGCTTGGAGGCCGGCTGCTTGGAGGCTTGGAGCCGAAGGCATGGAGCCTTGGAGGCATGGAGACATGGGGCACGAGATCTTGGAGGCTTAGAAGCCAGAGGCATAGGGACATGGAGTCCTGGAGGCTTGGAGCCATGGTGACTTGGAGGCCCTGGAGACATAGTGGCTTGGACGTTTGGAGGCATGGAGACATGGGGACATTGAGGCTTAGGAGGCTTGGAGGCATCGGGACATGGAGGCCCAAGAGACTTGGAGGCTTGGGAGACTTGGAGGACTTGGAGGCGTGGAGGCGGAGGCTTGGAAACTTGGTTGCATGCTTAGAGGCCGGAAAGCATGGAGACCTAGAGGCATGGGGACATAAGGAGACTTGGAGGCATGTTGATATGGAGGCATGGAAGCACTTGGGGGCACGGGGACTCAGAAGGCATGGGGATTTGAAGGCCTGGAGGCATGGAGACCCTGGAGGCATGGGGATCGGGAGGCTTGGAGGCCGGGAGGAATAGGGACTTGGGGGCTTGGAGGCATGGGGACGTGGAGGACTGGGGACATAAGGAGCCTTGGAGGCAATCGGGACAAGGCCTTGGAGACCCATGGGGACTTGGATGCTTGCTGGCATGGCATGGAGGCACGGGTGCCAAGGCATGGGACACGGAGGCACGGGGACTGGAGGTCTTGAGGGGCGTGGGGACATGGACATGGAGGTATGACATGGGACATGGAGGCACGGACATCGAGGCTTGGAGGCATGGGGACATGGGACACGGAGGCCGGAGGCCAGGATTCGTGCCGACATGGAGGCTTAGAGGCCTTGCAGGCATGGGGGCATCGGATTTGGAGGCATGGAGAATTAGCAGCATGGACTTGGAGGCCAGAGGTTTGGAAGCAGGCGCAAACACGGAGGCCGGAAGGAACGGGACACTGAGGCCTGGAGGCATGGGGACACGGAGGCTCTGAGGCTTGGAGGCATGGGGACATGAGAGAGGCTTGGACTCGTGAGGACACGGAGGCTTGGAGGCCTGGAGCCATGGGGACCCCAAGCTTGGAGGCATGGGGAATTGAAGGCATGGGGACTGGAGGCCGGGAGGCTTGGAGGCTTGGAGGCTTGGAGGCTTGGGGGCATGGGGCCATGGAGGAATGGAGAAATGGGGCCATGGAGGAATGGAGACATAGGGACTTGGAGCTTTGGAGACATGGATGACATGGAAGCTTGAGACTTGGAGGATTGGAAACTTGGTTGCTTGGAGGCTTGGAGGCCTTGAAGGCATGGAGACGTGGAGGCATGGGGTCATGGAGGCTTGAAAGCAAGGGGACTTGGAGGCTTCAGGTAGACTTGGATGCATTGGGACTTGGATGCTTGGAGGCATAGGACATGGAAGCTTGGAGGCTTGGAGCAATGCGAACATGGAGGCTAGGAGGCATGGACACATGAGGCTTTGAGGCCACGGAGGCCACGGAGGCCTGGAACCTGGGTTGCTTGGAGGCTTGGAGGCTTGAAGGCATGGAGCCCTTGGAGCATGGAGACATGGGGGCATGAGATCCTTGGAGGCTTAGAAGCCAGAGGCATAGGGACATGGAGTCCTGGAGGCCTGGAGCCATGGTGACCTGGAGGCCGGAGACATAGTGGCCGGACGCCGCCTGGAGGCATGGAGACATGGGGACATTGAGGCCAGGAGGCCCGGAGGCACCGGGACATGGAGGCCGGAGACCTGGAGGCCTGGAGACCCCTGGAGACCTTGGAGGCGTGGAGGCGGAGGCGGAGGCTTGGAAACTTGGCCAAGCTTGGATGCTTAGGAGGCGAAAGCATGGAGACCCCGGAGGCATGGGGACATGGAGACCCCTGGAGGCATGTGACATGGAGGCGTGGAGGGCATGGGGACTTGGAGGCATGGACGAAGGCCGGAGGCATGGGGGACGTGGATGCTTGAGGGACATGGAGGAGGCTTGGAGGCATCGGGACGAGGCTTGGAGGTTTGGAGCCATGGATTTGGAGCACCATGACTTGGAGACTTGGAGGCATGGGGACCTGGAGGCTTGGAGGCATGGGTATTTTGAGGCATGGGTGCTTGGAGGCATGGGGACATGGAGGCATGGACCGGAGGCTTGGAGGTTTGGGGCACGGGACATGGGGATATGGAGGTATGTAGTCATGGGGACTTGGAGACGGGAGGCATGAGGACATGGAGGCCTGGAGGTTTGGGGACATGGAGGCTTGGAGACCGGCCAGGCCTGGTGACATGGAGGCTGGGGAGGCATGGATACCTGGAGGCCAGGAGGCACGGGACATGGAGGCCGGAGACTTGGGAGGCTCGGAGACCTGGAGACTTGGAGGCGTGGAGGCGTGGAGGCGTGGGGAGGCGTGGAGGCCGGAGGCCTGGAGGCCTGGAGGCTTGGAAACTTGGTTGCTTGGATGCTTAGGAGAGGCTTGAAAGCATGGAGACCCTAGAGGCTTGGGGACATGGAGACTTGGAGGCATGTGGATATGGAGGCGTGGAGGCTTGGGGGGCATGGGGACCTTGGAGGCATGGGATTTGAAGGCTTGGAGGCATGGAGACTTGGAGGCATGGGGATTTGGGGAGGCTTGGAGGCCTTGGAGGAATAGGGGACTTGGGGGCTTGGAGGCATGGGGACGTGGAGGCTTGGGACATGGAGGTTTGGAGGCATCGGGACAAGGCTTGGAGCCATGGGGACCTGGATGCTTGGAGGGCATGGGTATTTTGAGGCATGGGTGCTTGGAGGCATGGGGACTTGGAGGCTTGCAGGACTGCCAGGCTTGCAGACATGGAGGCTTGGAGGCATTGGGGGACATGGAGGCCTTGGAGACTTGGAGACTTGGAGGCAAGGGGACATGGAGGCTTGGAGGCATGGGGACTTGGAGGCTTGGAGATTTGGAGGCATGTATACATGGGGACATGGAAGCTTGAGGCTTGGAGGCTTGGAGGCTTGGGGGCTTGGGGCATGGGGACATGGAGAAATGGAGAAATGGACCATGTGGAGGAATGGAGACATGGGGACTTGGAGCTGGAGGCATGAGGACATGGAAGCTGGAGACTTGGAGGCTTGGAAACTTGCTTGGAGGCTTGGAGGCTTGAAGGCATGGAGACGTGGAGGCATGGAGGTCATGGAGACTTGGAGGCAAGGGGACTTGGAGGCTTGGAGACTTGGAGGCTTGGAGACGTGGAGGCATGGGGTACATGGAGGCTTCAAGCATGGGGACATGGAGGCTTGGAGGCTTGGAGCCATGGAGGCTTTGAGGTTTGGAGGCATGCGAACATGGAGGCTTGGAAGCATGGGGACATTGGAGGCTTGGAGGAGGTATGGAGACATGGAGGCTCTGAGGCTTGGAGGCATGGGGACTTGGAGGCTTCGAAATTTGGAGGCAAAAAGGAGACTTGGAAGCTTGGAGACCTGCAAGGCTGGAGGCTTGGAGACTTGGGACCTGGAGGCATGGGAATTTGGAGGCCTCGAAGTTTGCAGGCATGGGGACTTGGAGGCCTGGGAGACTTGTGGCTTGGAGGTTTGGAGGCATGGGGACTTGAGGCTTACAGACTGCCAGGCTTGCAGACATGGAGTCTTGGAGGCATGGAGACTTGGAGGCTAGGAGGCATTAGGACATGGAGGCTTGGAGACTTGTGGGCTTGAAGGCTTGGATGCATGTAGACTTGGAGGCGTGGAGGCTTGGAAACTTGGTTGCTTTGAGGCTTGGAAGCTTGAAGGCATGGAGACTTGGAGGCATGGGGACATGGAGGCTTGGAAGCATGGGGACTTGGAGGCTTGGAGGCATGGAGACATGGAGGCTTGGAGACATGGAGGCATTGAGGCATTGGGACATTGAAGCTTTGAGGCCATGGAGGCTTGGAGGCTTGGAGCCATGGGGACTTCGAGGCTTGGGGGCATGGAGGCATGGGGACTTGGAGGCTTGGAGACTTAGGGGGCTTGGAGGTTTGGAGGCATGGAGGCAAGGAGGCATAGAGGCTTGGATACTTGGAGGCTTGGAGGCATGGAGACATGGAGGCTTGGAGACATGGGGACATGGAAGATTGGAGGCTTGGAGCCATTGGGACTTGGAGGCTAGGAGGCTTCGAAGCATGGGTACATGGAGGCTTGGAGGCATGGGGACATGGATGTTTGGAGGCATGGGGACTTGGAGGCTTGGAGACTTGGAGACTTGGAAACTTGGAAGCATGGGGAGTAGTATATACACACTGGGGTACGAGATAAAGTTCAGCAAAAGCCTCTGTAAAGCTTCATTCACTAAATACAGCTTTTGTCAGGCCCTTATCTCTCTCCGCTATTTTATATACCAGGTTTGAACCCCCTGTTAACTTCCTGGTCACTATGACCGCGAACCAAAACTTTCCTGATCACGTGACACTATGTCGTGTTGACCTCGAGGAAACAGTTGGTTACAGGATACTATTGGGATTACTCGACAAGGTAAGTGTTAAATATTTTGCTTGGGGGGTAACATTGTGCTGTGATTCCTCTCTGGCGGCGGCTCGTGGCTGCCCTACATGATGTTGATCTCAGCAAAACAGTTTAACGTGAATCTCCTATGATTTCTTTGGTTTTCATAATTGAGGCTTGCTGGGCTTGTTGTATCCCCTGTTCTATGTACTTTTTTTGGCTCGCTCGCTGACGGCAGTTTTACGAGACTTGTTTCGAATCTCTCGTTTCATTTCATGATATTTTGTGAGTTGGGAGAGGACCAAACGAAACTCTTCCTCTGAGATTTTATTGTCAGTGAGTGCGGTGGAAATATGGTCGTCTATGGTGTTTAACTTCGCATCGGCTAGGATCCTGATCTCGTCGTGTTTCAATGCCTTACGATGCAGTCTGCGTGACACAAACTTAAACACCAATCCAGCCAACCCTGACACCCCAGCTGTTATTTCGATGCCTAGCACTACGGGTGCGGCTACGATGGTGGTCAACAACCCCACACCTACTGCCCTTAACCCCATACTGGTAGCCATAAGGGTGGTATCAACCCCATCCACGACATTGAAAGCTCTATGGTACTTCTTGTACAATGCTGCCCGTGTGTCGCGGTCTTGTTCTAGTTGGCATTTTACGTCACATAACTGTTTCAATCGAAACCCGTCTACGGTTTCCAGTGTCTTCGCTACTACCTCTACGACTGGGTACAGCCCCATCCTGTGCGTATAATATATACTACAAGATATTTTTTAATTGGGCTTCATATAATAGTCGATCAATGTACTTGAGGCTTATAAGGCCTACGTGCCCATGTAGGTGAATAGTGGAACGGTCAATAGGTCACTCTTGTTCTATACTAACTATATGGTTGCTTATTAAGGGGGGCAGCAACCCCGGTGAGGGGTCCGAGCTCCGTCATATGACGATACGACAATGGCGGTCTGTAAATGGATATGAATGTGGCAATCTTATTTCCACCCCAGGTAAAAGGTGCCAGGGGGGAACCACCCCCTCATCAATATCGTCTCTGAAAAAGAATTCTATGATGAATGTGGAGCCTGGGGGCATAACCATAGAATATAATAGGCCAGCATATAATCGAAATGATAAACGTGTATAACTGGATGCATTTAACATGTAGCCCGGGCGATTTGGTGTTTGGGAAACTCTTATACTCTGAAAGTTTGGGGGGGTGAAACGCCCGAGCAAGATACCGTTGTTCTTAATTTCGGTGATATAACTAGTGATAGGACCATCCACCCTTGGGAAAGAAACGTAAGGTGTGGTGAGGGTCATGTTGATCAACCATTTGGGCTCTCTAAAGTCCCCGAGTGTGATGTTGGGCCAATGATCGGGCATTGCCGCCCGTCTATACACGTTGTCTTTCAAGTGTAGGACGTACAAGGCGTCTTCCTCGCCGGGCAGATCGAACCCTTCCGTGTTTCCTAGGTCGTTAAGCGTGGCGTTGGGCCGATGATGATTGGACATTGCTATAATACTATTACAAGATAGTTTCCAATTGTTTTTCTGATAACCTCTCAAGGGTGCACTTCAACACCATGAGGTGTATGTTGTCGGGTAGGAAGATCTTGGTGAGGGATATCGTGTCTTCCACGGTCATGGTGACCCCCTGCAGACTGGTGTGGGAGTCGACACCCACCCGCACGTAAACAGTGTAAACGTGATACTGGTGCTGTTTCACCCACCGGAGTTTGATTCCCTTCACGACTTCGACTTCGTCCTGCGATGGCAAACGTGGAATTTGCTGGTAGACCTTCCAGGATTTTGACCACACCGGCGAATTCAGACACCAACTGCAATGTCACGGCTTGCACTCCCGGTTTACTCGATAGCATGTGGGCCGCCATACTTGAGAGTGGGCTGATGATTATGCTACGTCTCCGCACCGGGATGTAAGCCACGAGCATGGTTCCGTTGTTCACGACTTTGTTTAGGTAGTTGTCTTTGTTCTCGTGAACACGTATGGGGAGCCGAGACTAATGTTGAGAAACCAATCCACTCGAGAGGGTAACAACACCCACTTGTCATAGTCGGTGAAGACGAGCGTATACTGCTTGTTTCGAGCAACGGTCGTGCTCTCAACATCTTCTAGGTCGAACAGTTTGCCTTCAAACGATGGGTATACCGCCCATCTATCATCACCGATGCGGACTAGGTCGAACTGAGTGTTGAGGGCCGCTCCTGAGGTATCTACTATCTCACCTAGGGTTCTACCGATGGAGGAGACTTCAACGCGTTTGTAAATACTGTTTTTAAGCTGCAAGGCGTAAAGTTTACCATCTACTCCGGGGTCGTCGAACCCGCGTGTGTCCCCAAGGTCGGAGATCCCCACATTGATGCATTTTTTCAACCTCATTCCAGGACCTTGTGCGCTAGTCATTTTATGTGCAGCGTTATGCTGAGGTATCCTATATTCACAGGATTCACCGCTCATTATTCCTGGAAGTGTTACGTACATGTTAGAGCATATATACCCATTATATAATACTTTAAAAATGTACAAACCGGGAGTGTTTTACCCTAAAATGGACATAGATTTCCCGCACATGAAGATCATGGTCGCGGGCTGGGTTGTATATCGGAGCCCAGTTCATAGATGTGTTCGACCGGTATAAGCTTTTTGTGACTAACGTCAAGGCAGTCCACGCCTGGTTCAACACCCCTATGCTGTTCTGGCAGAATCAACTTAACTTCGCCGTCTGGTGTGCGACGACTGGGTGTGGCTTGACATTGACCGACACTCGTCGGGGACCGCTGAGTCAGTCTGTGTTCACGTTTCACGTGTACTACCAGGTCAGGCGTATCCTCAAAGAGATCAGCGCTCCGCTCCCACAGGACAAAGCATGGGACGCAGTAAACAACCCGTACGATAGACGGGCCTACGAACGCGTTTGCAATGAATTCGAACTAGACCCGAAGACGGATTGGCCTTTGTCGGGCCCGAACCACGGGTTGGGTATCCCCATCGTTCACAACATGCCCCTCGTGGAAGCCAGCGAAAAGATGAAAGAATGGGGGTACAAGTCGTATCATCACATCACAACAAACGAGTGGGATGACCGTTACATGGCTTTCAACAACAGCAAGGATTACTGAGTCTGGAGGTTCGAGCAGGGGCCCGCGGATGACTGGAAAAAGTTCATGCTGGACACGTAGAGAGGGTTCACTCGTGCCGGCACCGAACGCTTGAACGACTCGATTCGAACGTACGTGTGGGCGCTGTTGGGTGGGCAGACACAAACGCGTTCCAACATCCTCGGTTAGGGGACTGCTTACGACACTCAGAAACTGTTCGTTGCTAATGTCGAGGATGCCATCGCCACCCCGGTCGACCTGCCGAGTGCCATCAAACACTACCAAAACGTATTGACCGCCTCCGTGGTGTAGTGGTTAGAGCGTCCGCCCGGAGAGCGGAAGGTCACGGGTTCGATCCCCGACCGCGTCATACCAAAAGACGTTAAAATATGGTACTTGTTGGTTCCTGCCTGGCGCTCGGCATTAATGGGTACAACAAGGACTGGTCGGCTCGGAGTCAGTATAATGTGTCTGAGGGGGGTATTCATGCTTCACTGCGGCATCGTATCTCAGTGGGCTAGCACTATAAAACCAGCTTAAGTCTGGGCTAGTACAAGCAGCCGCACACACACATACACACGCATGCCCGTCGTCATATGAGCGAAATATTCTCAAGCACGACGTTAAACCCAATTTCACCTCACCTCACCTCACCTCACCTCACCAAAACGTATTGGAATACGCCCGGTCTAAAGTCGACTACGTCTTCGACATGGGACTGTACATGTCCCCGAGCGACATGCAACTGAGAGTAAAAAAAGCAGTGGGCTACAACAACGAAATAGTTATAGCCACGGCCGACCAGAGTTGGGTGTCAATGCAGGCATCAACGTGAGTCACGTCCCACCTCCCAGGGGTGAAACGGTTATAGTCGTACCACCCCCGAAGCTCAGGGTTCAACCCACACCAACACAGCCCCTGCCACAACACCGGGTGGCTGAAAATAACGAACACATCGATCGTAAAACAGCGCTGGTGGTTGGCGGGATCGCGTTCGGTTTGGGTCTCATTTGGTTAAAAATTCCTTAGCGGCTACTTACACCAGCCCGGCCACGGCGCTGATGGCTTCGACTGACGTTCAACCTCACGTTGACCTCCGCCAACGACAAACGCGAGCTCGTGCGGAACGTAGGTTGAGCCATCATCAAGAAAACCACCATCAATATCAGCGGCAACGAGGTGTTGAGCATCAACGACAGCGACATATTTTACTGCTACGGGGACCTCTGGAAAAGTGAGGGAGAATGCGTCAATGACGTGTACCACGGTATCAGCAAATCGACTCGGTTGCGCTGTTCTGCGTGCCGCTCGACTTCAAGCTGCTCACAGGGCATGTGCCGTTTTAACTGGCCGCGCTGGGTGATAGGCTTGAATACGGGCTCACGTATAACGACTACAGCAAAGTCGTGCGTACGCCAAATGGTGATGAAGCCAGTTATGCCATCGACAACAACTCTCTGGGGTTTGACATTGTCACTAGCCCGGAGCTGGCAAGGCAGGTTCGAAACCAGTACTCGGGGAAGGTGGCCATCCTGTATGACCGCATACAGCGATCATACAGGATAAGAGAGACATGCTGTGGAACATCAACCTAAACATGCCGGCGCGATCAATGAAAGGTATCCTGATTGTCCCCTTGGAGGATTACGAGCCCTTCCGAAAAGGGACAGCGAGAAGTTTTTCAACCCCGAGATTGAAAAGGTGGAAGTGACCATCGAGGGCGTGCCCAACCAGCTGTTCAGCGCCGGTATGAGGGCACACCAGCAGTGGGATGAGATAACGAAGCTACCAACCCGACACCAACACGTCGTCAAGGACCTGGACCTAAGCTCCGTGCAGATCGGTGAATACCTGACCACCAAGTACGCGCTATGGTTGGACATGCGATCCACGGACGATGATCAATTACATGGCAGCGGTCGCCGCATCGACAACGGCAGCAAGGGGATAACCATCCAGATTGCCAAGAAGGCTCAACCCGCGGGCAAGTTGAAATTATATCTGTACGTGATTATGGACGCGCAACCTAATATAGAGAATGGGAGATTTGTGCAAGCCATCTATTGATCTACCCCGCGACCCGCACTGCGCCATAGTGTGCGGGCAGACGGGCTGTGGGAAGACCGTTTTCGTGTTGGACATGCTGGAGGGGGTACTGCCAGGATGTCTTCGACAATATCGTTATCATGTGCCCTACTTTGCCCATGAATAGAACGTACATGGAAAGACCTTGGGTGATGACGGACACGGACGTACACAGAGTCGACCCGGGAACACGTCTGCAGGACTGGTTGAAGGCTTATTACAGGTAATTTAAAGGGGAGTCGACGCTGTTCATCCTGGACGACTGCAGTGCTAACAAGGAGATAACAAAAAAGAGAGACATGCTATCGTACCTGGCCTTCTCCGGCTGGCACGCAAAGCACAGCGTCTGGGTGCTTATGCAGAAGTTCAACTAGGTGTTGAAAGACCTCAGGGAGCAAACGCGATGGGTGGCCTTATTCCACTGCAAGGACAGGGATTCGTTCGAGGAGTGCTTGAGAGAGAACGATGTGATGAGCAAACTAGAACGGGAACGGGTGAAGAGGCAGCTAGCCGAGACGAAGCATGTTAAGCTCGTGCTCAAGACCAACCAACCCGTGGACTATAGGGTATTTTAGCTCAGCAATGCTAAGCAAATGCTAAGCAATGCTAAGCAATGTCTTAGCAATTAAAAGTTACTATTCTATATGGCTTGTGAAGTGCTCACCGTGTGCAATTTAACCTTCATCTCGCTGTGTTTCGCCTGTATCGGTTATTATATCATTAGAGTTAAGAATCGCTTGTTACATTATAGGATGGATTGCAACGACCTGCTCGAACAACTGTTGGTGGAGGGGTATAAGCGACCTGATGACTACAAGCAAGAGAAACTGGTAGCGCAGATCTACACTGGCATAGCATCGTACTTCCTCCCCATTCCCCCGGAATGCTGGCTTTACCTGTGGGAGGACCTCAAGAAGGACCCCTTTATCCAACACGCTTTGAGCGCCGTCAGCTGCCTGCTGTACCATAAATACGGTATGTTCTTAGCCCAGGTGACAGCGGCGATCATCACGGCGAAGCATTGTCAATTTAAATATGGGAATGATAATCATAATAGTATACAAGATGGATGCTGCCCAGACAACCTGTTGTCAGAGGAGATATCACTAGTGACGATAGAGGAAACCCCGACCCCAGTACAAGTCACCAAGCAGAAGAACCCTAAAAGGGTCGCCGCCGGTAGAAAAGATGGTCTAGCCAAGCAACATAAGAGTAACTATATATGGATTGTAGGCACAACTGCTGCGGTTGCCGCGGTTTTCATGCTTTATAATAGGCCACAAGCACCACCCCAACAACCACAATTAGAGGTCAACCCCCATATTATGTTATAAATATATATTTCTATATCATATACATCATGTCTGAGGGGAAAAGTTCGTTAACGAAGCATACCACGCCACTGTGGTCGCCGGCCTAGCCGTAGGGTACGCTCGGTTGACCAAGATGGTCCTCACACAACCGACTATAAAGTTCGACCTCGACCTGCAGGATATGGGCATGTTCATCATGAATTTGGGCATGGCTATGGCCACCAAGGATATCCTCATGAGGCAAGGTATCATACCGGGGAATATTTTGAAGTAAATATATAGGATGGATACGATCGCTATGATAGTCGACGGGGCTTTAGTCAATGCCCTGGCATTTTCTGGGAGAAATTACCTGTTCTCGAAATTACGGAAGACTCCAGCGTGAGAACCATGCCGATAAAACGTTCCATGACATCGACGATGCAGCGAGAGAATACTACCTACCAACCGGCAAACAACTCTAACCAATCGAGGAACCCACACTTGCTCAGTACTACACACCATCCCCGGGGCAAAAGGACCGAGAACTGACCTTCGTCGTGCTGGGTCTAGCAGCGACTGCGTTGAATGTAAAGCAATTAAACTAGGTCCCCATATGAGTATACAAAAGATGAGACCTACCCCGTACCGATACCAGTACATACTTATGGGGAAGACCGAGACCTGCAGTAGGAGATGTAGGACTGAGGGGTACTGCTGTTTTCATAGGAGGTGTTTCGCGAACTACACCTGTTCCATGTGCGGTATTGGAGTGAAATGCCATTACTGTTTATGTAAAGCCCACGGGGCAAACGTAGTCAGGCACCAGCTTATCTACGAGAAGAAAAGGCATAATAATGCCTGCGTTCATACGAACTACTGTAACCCCGAAAGGTTACCTGAAAAGCTGGCGGATGAACAAAGCCGAAAGCATACCCGTCACCGCCATCGCTGGTATACTCAAAGAGGAACTGAATAGCCTGGGGCGCTTCAAATTTCGGTTCACATTGGAAATGACATGGGCTAAAGATGGCATCAGGTATACTTTCCCCATAACAGGTGGGCGGAAAATCGCGACTCAACCTGAGCTAGATAAGTACCTCAACACAATACGAAGTATCTACCCCAAGGGGTACGTGGCCAAAACGGTCTACCTAAGTATAGCGTATTATGACGCTAAAGTGGACCTACTGGCGCCAGGCCTCCACCTGCTCACATCAAAGTCCCATTAAGGTTGGAGGAGTTACCTCCCTTGTTGGCGGACCAATTAGAGATTGTATACACCTGGGTATTACAATGCCTACTGTCCGAGAGCTCAAGCAGATTGCGAGAGAACGAGGTGTAGTGGGTTACTCCCGAATGAGGAGACCCCAATTGTTTAGGTTACTCGACATACAACCCCCTCCCACGGTGAAACAACTCAAACGCCAAGCCAGAGAGCTGGGGTTGACTGGTTATTCCCGTATGAGGAAAGCCGGGCTTGTCGCACTGTTGCACGACCCCATACGTCCCCACACTGTGAAACAACTCAAACGGGAAGCCCAAGAGCTGGGGTTAGTAGGTTATTCCGTATGAGGAAGCCTGAGCTCGTTGAACTGTTACATCAGCACAGAGTCGTTGATCTAGAGTTCGTGCGCACTGAACACGCTGTAGGTACCTATCTGAGAGGCTGGCGCATGCATGTGGATAAGAACATAGACATCGGCGACATCAAGCCGCTGATCGCTGACAAAGTTAAGAACTGAACGATTTGGGAAGTCTAAAGTTTCAAATAACGGCAAAGATGTCGCTTGATAAACAACAGAATGGTGCCATTGAGTACGTTCAGCCTTACTTCCAGGGTAAACAAGAAGTCGTGACTCATGCCGAGACGATAGACGCGTCCATCGACACCAGTTTTCAGCAAATACGGGAATATTTGGAACACTTCACACACATGGGTTCTGGGTGGGCTGTGGATAAAATCGATAAGGTCTATCTAGACATAGCTAACTACGTACCGTTCAGAGGCGGATCGTACCTAGACTTGCCCCCCTACTACAAGAAAAAACAAGCAATGGTCAACATCAAGAACAGAGGGGGATGATTGCATGAGGTTAGCGATCAGGTCAGCCTTGTTTCCGGCCGACGTTAATTCGAACATGCCTTCTAGCTATCCCCAAAATGATGGGCTCAACTGGGCTGGTATAGACGAACCCACCCCGCTATCCCAGGTCACCAAAATCGAGAAACAGAATGATATAGCCGTCGTTGACGTTGCCAGCCGCTACAAGGAAGCCGAGCCCTTAACCGCAAAAGATGCGGCCCAAGTAGCCCGCGGATTCGAGCGCATATACAAACGCAGTCCGCTGACATGGCCCACAGAGCTGCAAGTTGACCCCGGGCGGGAGTTCATGGGTGCCATGTCACAACTGCTAGCCCAGAACGACGTCCAAGTCAGGCGTGGCGCGGTGGTGTCGGCTATCAACACCAAGGAGGCATGGGTGACTTGGAGGCTTGGAGGCATGGAGACATGGAGGCTAGGAGGCATACGAACATGTGGACATTAAGGCTTGGAGGTATGGAGACATAGAGGCTCTGAGGCTTTAAGACTTGTGGCTGGGAGGCTTGGAGGCATGGAGACTTGAAGGCTTGGAGGCATGGGGACATGGGGACATGGAGACTTGGAATTTTGGAAGCTTGGAGGCATGGGGACTTGCAGGCTTGGAGACATAGTGGCTTGGAGGTTGGGAGGCATGGGGACATGGAGGCTTAGAAGCTTGGAGCCATGGTGACATGGAGGCTTGGAGGCATGGTGACATTGAGGCTTGGAGGCATGGGTACTTGGAGGCTTGGATGTTTGCAGGCATGGGGACTTGGTGGCTTGGAGACTTGTGGCTAGGAGGCTTGGAGCCATGGATGCTTGGAGACTTGCAAGGTTGGAGGCTTGGAGAGTTGGAGGCATGGGGATTTGGAGCCTTCGAAGTTTGCAGGCATGGGGACTTGGAGGATTGGAGAGTTGTGGCTTGGAGGCTTGGAGGCATGGATACTTGGAGGCTAGAAGGCATGGGGACATGGTGGCTTGGAGACTTGGAGGCTTGGAGACTTGCAGGCTTGAAGGCTTGGAGATATGGAGCCTTGGAAGCTTGGAGGCTTGAAGGCGTGGAGGCTTGGAAACTTGGTTGCTTGGAGGCATGGTGGCTTGAAGGCATGGAGACTTCGAGGCTTGGAGGCATTGGGACTTGGAGGCTTGGAGACTTGGAGGCATGGGGACTTGGAGAATGGAGGCATAGGGACATTGAAGCTTAGACCCTTGGACGCATGGGGACTTAGGCTTGGAGGCATGGGGACATTGAGGCTTTGAGGCATGGACGCATGAGGACATGGAGGCTTGGAGGCTTGGAGCCATGGGGACTTCGAGGAGTGCAGGCTTCGAGGCATGGGGAATTTGGAGGCTTGGAGCCGTAGTGGCTTGGAGGTTTGGAGGCATGGAGGCATGGAGGCATAGAGGCTTGGAGACTTGGAGGCTTGGAGGCATGGAGACATGGAGACATGGGGACATTGAGGCTTAGAGACTTGGAGGCATAGGGACACAGAGGCTTGGAGGCATGAGGACTTAGAGGCTTGGAGACTTGGAGGCATGGGTGACTTGGAGGCATGGAGGCATGGAGACATGGAGGCTTGGAGGCATGCGAACATGGAGGCTTGGAGGAATGGGGACATTGAGGCTTGGAGGTATGGAGACATGGAGGCTCTGAGGTTTGGAGGCATGGGGACTTGGAGGCTTACAGACTGCTAGGCTTGCAGACATGTAGTCTTGGAGGCATGGATACTTTGGAGGCTAGGAGGCATTAGGACATGGAGGCTTGGAGACTTTGAGGCTTGAAGGCTTGGAGGCATGTAGACTTGGAAGCTTGGAGACTTGGAGGCGTGGAGGCTTGGAAACTTGGTTGCTTGGAGGCTTGGAGGCTTGAAGGTATGGAGACTTGGAGGCATGGGGACATGGAGGCTTGGAGGCATAGGGACATGGAAGCTTAGAGGCTTGGAGCAATGCGAACATGGAGTCCAGGAGGCATGGGGACATTGAGGCTTTGAGCCATGGGGACTTCGAAGTTTGGAGGCTTGGAGGCATTGGGACTTGGAGGCTTGGAGGCATGGGAACATTGAGGCTTGGAGGCATGGGTACCTTGGAGGCCGGACGGATGTTTGCAGGCATGGAGGCCGGAGGCCATGGGAACATGGAGGCTTGGAGGCTTGGCCAGGGGACCTGGAGGCATGGACACCGAGGAGGCATGGCAGGGAGGCCGGATGAGGCCTGGAGGCATGGAGACTTGACATGGAGGGAACATGGAGGCTTGGAGCCATGGGGACTTGGAGGCTTGGAGGCATGGGGACATTGAGGCTTGGAGGCATGGGTACTTGGAGGCTTGGATGTTTGCAGGCATGGCTACTTGGAGGCATGGAGACACCCTGGGAGGCTTGGAGCATGGAGAGCATGGAGGCCTGGAGGCCTGGATGTGGCACTTGGAGGCCAGCCGGAGCCACAGATCTACCGGAGGCACGGACATGGACCATTGGAGGCACTGGAGGCACAGGCCCTGGAGGCCTTGGTGGCACGGGACGGAGGCCGGACAGGGAGGCAGGCTTGGACTTGGAGGCACCAGGAGGCCGGATGGAGGCTTGGAGGCTTACCTTGGAGGCATGGGGCACGGATCCCTGGAGGCCTGGGAGGCATGGGACTTGGAGGCCTGGTGATGCCCAGGCATGGAGGAGGCCTGGAGGCCTGGAGACCTGTGGCCTGGAGGCCTGGAGGCATGGAGATCCTGGACATGGAGCCATGGGACATGGAGGCCTGGAGCCATCATGCACTGAGGCTTGGAGGCATGGAGGCACTTGGAGGCCTGGGCCCATGAGGCACTGAGACACCTGGTGGCCTGGAGGCATGGGAGCCTGGAGCCACACGGAGACCACTGGAGGCTATGGTGGCATTGGTACTTGGAGGCACGGAGCCATGGGACACTGAGGCCGAGGCATGGCATGGACCTGGAGGCTTGGAGGCATGGGGACATGGCCGGAGGCTTGGTGGCATGGGTGACCTTGGAGGCACGGAGGCATGGGGACTTGGAGGCCTGGAGGCATGGCGTGGAGGCTTGGAGGCCAGGAGGCATGGAGGCGGAGGCCTGGAGGCATGGAGACATGGAGGCTGGGAGGCTGGAGGCCGGAAGGCATGGACACGGAGGCTGGAGACCGCCAGGCCGGCATGGAGACAGGTACAGGCCTGGAGGCTTGGAGGCCGGAGGCACAGGGACATGGAGGCTTGGGGAGACCGGAGGCACGTGGATACTTGGACCGGAGGCCTGGAGGCATGGAGGCTTGGTGGACCCACTTGGAGGCCTGGAGGCCACGGGTACACTGAGGCCCTGAGGCATGGAGGACGGAGGCTTGGAGACATAGGAGGCATGGAGACATGGAGGCCTGGAGGCAGACGCGAACATGGAGGCTTGGAGGCATGGGGACACTGGAGGCCATGGAGGCCATGGAGGCCTGAGAGGGGACTGGGAGGCCTGGAGGCATGGGGACCCGGGAGGCTTGGAGAGGCATGGGGACTTGGAGAGGCTTGGAGGCCTGGAGGCATGGGCACCCCTTGGAGACTTGTAGGCAGGAGGCCTGGAGGCCTGGAGGCAGAGAGACCTGGAGGCACGGGACTGGAGACCTGGAACTTGCCGGTGGAGGCCGGGAGACCGGGAGGCATGGTGACGGAGGCCTGAGCCTGCAGGCATGGGAGGAGGCCTGGAGACCTGGAGGCCTGGGAGGCCTGGAGGCATGGGAGACATGGAGACCTGGAGGCATGGGGACACGGAGGCCTGGAGGCATGGGGACATGGAGGCCTGGAGGACACGGGAGGCATGGAGGACTGGAGGCATGGGAACTTGAGGCTTGGAGGCTTGGGAAAGACCTGGAGGCATGAGACCTGGAGGCCTGGAGGCATAGGAGACATGGAGGCTTGGAGGCAGGCCTGGAGGCATGCTGAGACATGGAGGCCAGAGAGCCTGGAGGCATGGGGGCTTGGAGAGCATTGGCCAGAGGCCTGGAGACTTGAGGCATGGGGACATGGAGGCCTGGAGGCTTGGAGGCATGGAGGCCTTGGAGGCCTTGGAGGAGGGGAAGAGGCATGGAGACCTTGGAGGCATGGAGGCATGGGACATGGAGGCTTGGAGGCATGGGGACATGGAGGCTTGGAGGCCTGGAGGCCTTGGGAGGCTTGGACATGGGGACATGGAGGCCTTGGAGGCATGGGGACTTGGAGGCTTGGAGGACATTGGAGGCATGCATGGAGGCCTGGAGGCTTGGAGGCAGGGGACCGGGAGGCATGGGTACTTGGATGGAGGCTTGGACATGGGAGGTAGGAGGCCGGGGGAGGACTTGGGAGGCATTAGGACTTGGAGGCTTGCAGGCATGGACACTTGGAGGCTTGGAGACTTGAGGCTTGGAGGCTTAGGAGGCATGGAGACTTTGGAGGCATGGAGGCATGGAGACATGACAGAGGCTTGGAGAATGGAGGCATGGAGGCTTGGGAGGCATGGGGACTTGGAGGCTTGGAGGATTGGAGGCATGGGAACCGGAGACTTGGAGGCATGGAGGCATGGAGGCCGGAGGCTTGGAGGCATGGAGAGCATGGGAGGAATGGAGGCACTGGAGACAAAGGACATGGAGGCATGGAGGCATGGATGGAGGCTTGGAGGCATGGGACCTGGAGGCTTGGAGGGACTTGGGAGGCTTGGACCCAGGCTTGGAGGCTTGAGACTTTGGAGGCAAGGAGGCATGGGGACATGGAGGCTTGGAGGAGGCATGGGACACTTGGGAGGCTTGAAGGCATGGAGACATTGGGCATGGAGGCTTGGAGGACCTTAGGTGGCATGGAGGCTTGGAGCTTGGAGGCAGGTGGAGGCTTGGAGGCATGGAGGCTTGGAGGCATGGGGACATGGAGGTTTGGAGGCATAGGGACAGGAGGCTGGAGGCTTGGAGGCATGGAGGCCGGAGGCTGGAACATGGAGGAGATTGGAGGCAGTGGACATGGAGGCCTTTGGAGGTCATGGAGGCCAGGCTTGGATGGGACTTCTGAGGCTTGGAGGCTTGGAGGCATGGGGACATGGAGGCTTGGAGGCATGGGGACTTGGAGGCTTGGAGGTTGTGGCTTGGCATGGAGGACTTAAGAGGCTTGGAGACTTGGGGCACAGGAGGCTTGGAGGCTTGGAGGCAGGAGACTTGGAGGCATGGGATTGGAGGCTTGGAGGCTTGGAAGGCATGGAGGCTTGGATGGACTGGAGGCATGGAGATTTGGAGGCTTCAGTTTGCAGGCATGGGGACATGGAGGCTGGAGACTTGTGGCAGGGGGCTTAGGAGGCATGGAGACTTGGAGGCTTGGAGGCATGGAGGTGGAGGCCTTGGAGCCATGGGGACACTGGAGGCCTGGAGGCATGGGGACATGGAGGCTTGGAGCCATGGGGACACGGAGGCTTGGTGGCATTGGAGGAGGCCGGAGGCTTGGAGACTTGGAGCCATGGGGACACCTGAGGCTTGGAGGCTATGGAGGCATGGAGGCTTGGGAGCCATGGGGACATTGAGGCCAGGCATGGGCATGGGGACTTGGAGGCCTGGAGCCATGGGACATGGAGGCTTGGAGGCATGGGGACACGGAGGCTTGGAGGCATGGGGACTCTGGAGGCTTGGAGGCAGGAGACTTTGGAGGCTTGGAGGCATGGGGACATGGAGGCCTTGGAGGCATGGGAGGCATGAGAGGCCTGGACATTTGCAGGCATGGGGACCTGGAGGCCGGAGACCCTGAGGCTTGGAGGCCTGGAGGCCAGGAGACTTGAGGCATGGAGGCTTGGAGGCCTGGAGGCACGAGGACACGGAGGCTTGGAGGCATGGAGACTTGAGGCATGGAGACTTGGAGGCTTGGAGACCGGAGGCACGGAGGCATGGAGGCATGGAGGCATGGAGGCATGGGGCCATGGCCGGAGGCTTGGAGGCACGGGCACCCCTGGAGGCATGGAGGCACCCGGACCGGAGGCCGGGAGGCCTGGCATGGGGACATGGAGGCATGGAGGCATGGGGACTTGGAGGCCGGAGGCATGGGGACATTGGAGGCCGGAGGCTTGGAGGCATGAGGAGGCATGGAGGCCGGAGGCACGGACACGGAGGCATGGGAGGCATGGAACGGAGGCTTAGGAGGCATGGGACACCGAGAGGCTTGGAGGCATGGGGACATGGAGGCCGGAGGCATGGAGGAGGCATGGAGGCCGGAGGCAGGAGGGACTTGGAGGCAGGCATGGACCTGGAGGCCGGAGGCCACAAGGGCATGGAGGCCGGAGGCCTTGGAGGCACGGGGACATGGAGGCTTGGAGGCATGGAGGCATATGGGGACCATGGAGGCCTGGAGACCTGGAGGCCTGGAGGCCGGAGGCATGGAGGCAAGGAGGCTTGAGGGCATGGGACATGGGGACCGGAGGCCATGGGGAGGCATGGACCGAGCTTCGAGGCATGGGGACATGGAGGCCTGGAGGCTTGGAGGCATGGGCCTGGAGGCACATGAGGCCATGAGGAGCCGGAGGCCTTGGAGGCTTGGAGGCATGGAGGCATGGAGGCCTTGGAGGCATGGGACATGGAGGCCTGAGGCATGGGGCACACACGAGAGGCCGGAGGCATGGGGAGATTGGAGGCCTTGGAGCCATGGACACGGAGGACACTGGAGGCATGAGGCTGGAGGCCAGGCATGGAGGCCCTGGAGGCTTGGAGACATGGGGGCTTGGAGGCATGGACACTGAGGCTTGGAGGCATGGGGACCTGGAGGCCTTCAGAGGCATGAGGCATGGGGACTTGGAGGCTTGGAGACTTGTGGCATGGAGGCTTGGAGGCATGGAGGCATGGAGACATGGAGGCATGGCATGGAGGCTTGGGGACATGGAGGCCTGGAAGACTTGGAGGCCGGGGAGACTTGGAGGCATGGAGACTTGGATGCTTGGAGGCTTGGAGGCACGGGAGGCTTGGAGGCTTGGAGGCATGGGGACATGGAGGCTTGGAGGCATTGGGGCATGGAGATTTGGAGGCTTGGAGGCATGGAGGCATGGAGGCTTGGAGGCATGGAGCCCTTGGGGCATGGAGACTTGGAGGCTTGGAGGCATGGGGACATGGGGGCTTGGAGGCCTTGGTGGCATGGAGACTTGGAGGCTTGGAGGCATGGGGACATGGAGGCTTGGAGGCATGGGGACTTGGGGACTTGGAGGCTTGGAGGCTTGGAAGGCATGGAGGCGAGACTTGAGGCTTGGAGATTTGTGGCCTGGAGGATTGGAGGCAGAGACTTGGAGGCATGGGGATTTGGAGGCTTGGAAGGCTTGGAGGCATGGAGGCTTGGGGGGCATGGAGACTTGGAGGCTTGGAGGCATGGACATGGAGGCTTGGAGGCTTGGTGGCATGGAGACTTGGAGGCTTGGAGGCATGGGGACATGGAGGCTTGGAGGCATGGGGACTTGAGGCTTGGAGACTTGTGGCTTGGAGGCATGGAGGACTTGGAGGCATGGGGAGACTTGAGGCTTGGAGACTTGTGGCTTGCAGGATTGGAGGCGAGACTTGGAGGCATGGGGACTTGGAGGCTTGGAGGCAAGGGGACATGGAGGAGAGGCTTGGAGGCATGGAACATGGGGGCTGGAGGCATGGGGACATGGAGGCTTGGAGGACTTGGAGGCATGGAGACTTGGAGATTTGGAGGCATTGGGAGACTTGGATGTCTTGGAGACTTAGTGGCTTGGAGGCATGGAGACTTGGAGAGACTTGTGGAGGCAAGTGGAGGCACCTAATCGCCAGTACACAAAAGTCAGCCACCTAACCCACTCAACCAACCATCACGACTTCCACCGACAAATCATTACGGGACGTCATATCCGTCTCCATATAGCAATATTAAGATGACTCATCTACATGGGCGCTATTTCGTCTCCACGCAAGCTGTAGCATCATCTGCTAGATGAGCGTAATATCGTCTTCACGCCGGGTGTAGTATCATCTCCTAGATGGGCGTAATTTCGTCTCCACGCCGAGTGTAGTACCATCTGCCAGATGGGCATCTGTCTCCACGCCGGGTGTAGGCATCCGCTAGGTGGGGCGTCACGTCTCCACGCCGGTTGTAGTATCATCTGCTAGATGGGCGTAATTTCGTCTCCACGCCGAGTGTAGTATCATCTGCTAGATGGGCGTAATATCGTCTCCACGCCGGGTGTAGTATCATCTGCTAGATGGGCGTAATTTCGTCTCCACGCCGGTTGTAGTATCATCTGCCAGATGGGCGTAAAATCCTCTCCACGCCGGGTGTAGTATCATCGGCAAATGGGCGTAATATCGTCTCCACGCCGGGTGTAGTAGCATCTGCTAGATGGGCTGTAATAATATCCACGCCGAGTGTAGTACCATCTCCTAGATGGTCATAATATCGTCTCCACGCCGGGTGTAGTATCATCTGCTAGATGGGCGTAATATCGTCTCCACGCCGGATGTAGTATTATCTGCTAGATGGGCGTAATTTCGTCTCCACGCCGGGTGTAGTATCATCTGCTAGATTAGGCGTAATATCGTATCCACGCCGGGTGTAGTATCATCTGCTAGATGGGCGTAATATCGTCTCCACGCCGGGTGTAGTATCATCTGCTAGATGGGCGTAATATCGTCTGAACGCCGGGTGTAGTATCATCTGCTAGATGGGCGTAATATCATCTCCACGCTGGATGTAGTATCATCTGCTAGATGGGCGTAACATCGTCTGCACGTCCGGGTGTAGTATCATCTGCTAGATGGGCGTAATATCGTCTCCACGCCTGATGTAGTATCATGTGCTAGATGGGCTAGATGGGCTTCACTTCGTCTCCACGCCGGGTGTAGTATCATATGCTAGATGGGCGTAATGTCGTCTCCACGCCGAATGTAGCATCATCTGCTAGATGGGCGTAATATCGTCTCCACGCCGGGTGTAGTATCATCCGCTAGGTGGGCGTCACTCTCGTCTCCACGCCGGTTGTAGTATCATCTGCTAGAGGGGCGCCACCTCGTCTCCACGCCGAATGTAGCATCATCTGCTAGATGGGCGTAATATCGTCTCGACGCCGGGTGTAGTATCATCTGCAACATGGGTGTAATATCGTATCTACGCCGGTTGTACCATCTGTATCGTAATCTCCGGCGGGGTAAAATCCTCTCCATGCCGAGCGTAGTATCATCGGCTAGCAGGGCGTAATATCGTCTCCACGCAGGGTGTAGTATCATCTGCTAGATGGGCGTAATATATCGTCGCCGTGTAGTACCATCTCCTAGATGGTCGTAATATCGTCTCCACGCCGGGTGTAGTATCATCTGCTAGATGGGCGTAATATCGTCTCCACGCCGGATGTAGTACCATCTGCTACGTGGGCGTAATTTCGTCTGCACGCCGGGTGTAATATCATCTGCTAGTTAGACGTAATATCATATGCACGCCACGGTGCGGTATCATCAGCTGAGATGGGCGTAATATCGTCTCCACGCCGGGTGTAGTATCATCTGCTAGATGGGCGTAATATCGTCTGAACGCCGGGTGTAGTATCATCTGCTAGATGGGCGTAATATCGTCTCCACGCCGGATGTAGTATCATCTGCTAGATGGGCGTAATATCGTCTGCACGCCGGGTGTAGTATCATCTGCTAGATGGGCGTAATATCGTCTCCACGCCGGATGTAGTATCATCTGCTAGATGGGCATAATTTCGTCTGCACGCCGGGTGTAGTATCATCTGCTAGATGGGCGTAATATCGTCTCCACGCCGGGTGTAGTATCATCTGCTAGATGGGCGTAATATCGTCTGCACGCCGGGTGTAGTATTATCTGCTAGATGGGCGTAATATCGTCTCCACGCGTCGGGTGTAGTATCATCTGCTAGATGGGCGTAATTTCGTCTGCACGCCAGGTGTAGTATCATCTGCTAGATGGGCGTAATATCGTCTACACGCCGGGTGTAGTACCATCTGCTAGATGGGCGTAATATCGTCTGCACGCCGGGTGTAGTATCATCTGCTAGATGGGCGTAATATCGTCTGCACGCCGAGTGTAGTACCATCTGCTAGATGGGCGTAATATCGTCTGCACGCCGGGTGTAGTATCATCTGCTAGATGGGCGTAATTTCGTCTCCACGCCGAGTGTAGCATCATCTGCTAGATGGGCGTAATATTCGTCTTCGCACGCCGGGTGTAGTATCATCTGCTAGATGGGCGTAATATCGTCTCCACGCCGTGTGTAGTATCATCTGCTAGATGGGCGTAATATCGTCTCCACGGGCGGTGTAGTATCATCTGCTAGATGGGCGTAATATCGTCTGCACGCCGGGTTATCGTCTGTAGTATCATCTGCTAGATGGGCGTAATATCGTCTCCACGCCGGGTGTAGTATCATCTGCTAGATGGGCGTAATATCGTCTCCACGCCGAGTGTAGTATCATCTGCTAGATGGGCGTAATATCGTCTGCACGCCGAGTGTAGTACCATCTGCTAGATGGGCGTAATATCGTCTCCACGCCGGTGTAGTATCATCTGCTAGATGGGCGTAATATCGTCTCCACGCCGGGTGTAGTATCATCTGCTAGATGGGCGTAATATCGTCTCCACGCCGGGTGTAGTATCATCTGCTAGATGGGCGTAATATCGTCTCCACGCCGGGTGTAGTATCATCTGCTAGATGGGCGTAATATCGTCTCCACGCCGGGTGTAGTATCATCTGCTAGATGGGCGTAATATCGTCTCCACGCCGGGTGTAGTATCATCTGCTAGATGGGCGTAATATCGTCTCCACGCCGGGTGTAGTATCATCTGCTAGATGGGCGTAATATCGTCTCCACGCCGGGTGTAGTATCCTCTGCTAGTGGAATAATATCGTCTCCACGCCGGGTGTAGTATCATCTGCTAGATGGGCGTAATATCGTCTCCACGCCGGGTGTAGTATCATCTGCTAGATGGGCGTAATATCGTCTCCACGCCGGGTGTAGTATCATCTGCTAGATGGGCGTAATATCGTCTGCACGCCGGGTGTAGTATCATCTGCTAGATGGGCGTAATATCGTCTCCACGCCGGGTGTAGTATCATCTGCTAGATGGGCGTAATATCGTCTCCACGCCGGATGTAGTATCATCTGCTAGATGGGGTGTAGTATCATCGTAATATCGTCTCCACGCCGGGTGTAGTATCATCTGCTAGATGGGCGTAATATCGTCTCCACGCCGGGTGTAGTATCATCTGCTAGATGGGCGTAATATCGTCTGCACGCCGGGTGTAGTATCATCTGCTAGATGGGCGTAATATCGTCTCCACGCCGGGTGTAGTATCATCTGCTAGATGGGCGTAATATCGTCTCCACGCCGAGTGTAGTATCATCTGCTAGATGGGCGTAATATCGTCTCCACGCCGGGTGTAGTATCATCTGCTAGATGGGCGTAATATCGTCTCCACGCCGGGTGTAGTATCATCTGCTAGATGGGCGTAATATCGTCTCCACGCCGGGTGTAGTATCATCTGCTAGATGGGCGTAATATCGTCTCGTAGTATCATCTGCTAGATGGGCATAATATCGTCCGGGTGTAGTATCATCTGCTAGATGGGCGTAATATCGTCTGTCTGGGTATATTTCTGGACGTGCACGCCGGGTGTAGTATCATCTGCTAGATGGGCGTAATATCGTCTGTAGTACCACGCTAGAGGCGTAATAGTATCATCTGCTAGATGGGCGTAATATCGTCTCACGCCGGGTGTAGTATCATCTGCTAGATGGGCGTAATATCGTCTGCACGCCCGGTGTAGTATCATCTGCTAGATGGGCGTAATATCGTCTCTGCACGCCGGGTGTAGTATCATCTGCCTAGATGGGCGTAATATCGTCTCCACGCCGGGTGTAGTATCATCTGCTAGATGGGCGTAATATCGTCTCCACGCCGGGTGTAGTATCATCTGCTAGATGGGCGTAATATCGTCTGCACGCCGAGTGTAGTACCATGGGCTGCTAGATGGGCGTAATATCGTCTGTAGCACGCCGGGTGTAGTACCATCTGCTAGATGGGCGTAATATCGTCTCTGCACGCCGGGTGTAGTACCATCTGCTAGATGGGCGTAATATCGTCTCCACGCCGGGTGTAGTATCATCTGCTAGATGGGCGTAATATCGTCTCGCACGCCGGGTGTAGTATCATCTGCTAGATGGGCGTAATATCGTCTCCACGCCGGGTGTAGTTGGGCGTAATATCATCTGCTAGTAAGGGCGTAATATCGTCTCTTCAGCACGCACGTGTAGTATCATCTGCTAGATGGGCGTAATATCGTCTGCACGCCGGGGTGTAGTATCATCATCTGCTAGATGGGCGTAATATCGTCTCCACGTCCATCTGTTAGATGGGCGTGTAGTATCATCTGCTAGATGGGCGTAATGGGAGTAA